TATTTATCTCTTTTTAACAAAATATAAAAAATTTTTTATTTACTTTTTATTAGTTTTATAAAAAACTTTATAGCAATACATTTAATCATTTTTAATATTATTATTGTAAATATGTTAAAAGCGATTTTGTTTATATTAAATTTTTTTACTTTTATAACTTTTTCCCAAAATTATTAAAATATAATTTTTCTTTTACTTTTATTAGTTTTTCTAAAATTTATATAAATACTTTTATTTGTATTTATATTATTCTATAAGGTTTTATAAAAATGAGTAAAATATATATATTTTTACTTAATTTTTATTAGTTTTATTAAAACGTAATGTATACTTTTATTTTATTTTTATACTATTTTGTAAATATTTTTAAAGTGATTTAACTTTAAGGTTTTTATTTTTTTTATATTTTTCTTTTAAATATTAAATTATAATTTTTTATTTACTTTTTATTAGATCTATTAAAACTTTAATAAACTTATAATCTTTTTATAAATATGTTTAAATATGATATTATTTACTTACAAGATTTCACTTTAAGGGTTTGAAGAATAATTATTTTTAGTACTATATGATTTTTTATTTATATATTTTCTTAATGAAATTTATTATTTGCAATATTATTATTATAAATTTATAAGTTTTTTTTATTTTTATAATATTTTTAAAAGTAAAATTTATTAATAAAGAGTTTTTTTTCATTACTTATTCTAAAATGTTTTTATAATATTTGATAATATTTGAAGTTTAATTAAATTTTTTATTACTTTGATAGTTTATATATACAATTATTATTTAAAGTTTATTAGCAAACCACTTTTTGAAATATATTTTTTTACTTTTAAACTTTTTTTTCTTATTATTAACATTTATAATTTTTTATGTTTAAAAGTTTTTCTAACAACTTTTTATTTATATATAAAATTTTCTTTATATTTCTATAAAACATTTAAAATTATTCATAATATATATTTTTATGTTATAATTTATTAACAAACTTCACATTGAAAACTTTTTAAAGATATTTTTTCTATTAATAATATTATTAAACTTTTAATTTTTTTTAATAAATAAAATTTTCTTATTAAATTTTTATTATATATTTATTGTTTTCAGGAAGTATTTATTTCACTTTATAATTTACTATCAAACTTCACCTATTTAAATATATATTTTTTACTTATCATTATTATTTATCATTTATTACTTGCTGAAGTTTTCTTTATAAATATTTTGTTAATTTATAAAATTCATAAAATATTCACTTTTTTTAAGTTAATTATAAATATATTTATTACTTTATAATTTCCTTTCAAACACTTTACTTTTTTAAACTTCTCAATATATTTTTTAGTATTTTACTTATTATAATTAAACTTTTAAACTTTATATAAAAAATAAAGGTTTCTTATAAAATTTTTTATTACATAAATTTTTTTTTATAAAACTTCTAAAATTAATTATAATATATATTTTTATAATTTACTATCAAATTTTACCTTTTCAATTTTTTTAAATAGATTTTTTCACTATTTTTACTTATTATTAAACATTTTTTTACCATTACAGAAGTTCTTTTATAAAATTTTTTATTAATATATAATTATAATATTTTGTTAAACTTTTTATTTTTCTTATTATTATATCACATGTAAACTGTGTTATAAACTTTTTATTATTCCTAAACTTTTTTTTATTAAACTTATTAATAATATTTATAAATTTATAACGTTTTTCAAACTTTTATAGTTGTTTATAAACTATAATTATTGTAAATATAATTTTTTAATTTATTTATAAAATATAAATATTTATATGATATATATATTTTTTATTTATTAAATAATTACTAATATTTAATTTTTTGGTCAAATATAATTATTTTTTATATATATTTTTTAATTTATTTATAGAATATTTATTTGTTTTATATATTTTTACTTAATTTTTCTTATTTTTAATAATATATATAAAATTTTTATTACATTTTTTTAAGTTTTATAGTTACTAATAAATATAATTATTTATATATATATTATTTTTCCACTTTAGATTTGATATCAAATTACTTATTTTATATATTATATTTTACTTTCAATACATATTTTTAGGTACGCTTTTGAAGATGAAGAATAAAAGCATTGCCCCCACTAATAAAGTTTTACAGCTTTTGGTGAAATATGCCGTCCACATGTGTTCGTACTACTATTTATTATGATTATTTATTTTACTTTTTATTATATTATTGTATAAAAAAATAAAATAAAATATATTAATATAGAAACTTTTATTAATAATAAATAATAATTTTTTTTATATTATTACTTTTTCCTTTTTTTATTTTTAAAAATAAATATTTAATGGAAGTTACTTATATTTATTAATTTTTTTAAAATGTATACTTTTTTTATATACAAAAACAAAATATTTCATAAAATGTTGTTTATTTTTTTAAATTATTTAGAAATTTTACCATTTTTTATTTCTAAAAATTTACTACTATTTACTATTTTTTTATATAAAATAAAAATTATTATTTTTTTTTATAATTTCTTAATATTATTATTATTTGCCTTACTTTTTACTTTTATAAAAATTTTCTAATAAAAGTTACTTACATTTTCTTAATCGTTTAGACTTTTTACACAATTTTTTCTTGTTTTTAATAATTTTATTATATAATTTACACAATTTTTTCTTGTTTTTAATAATTTTATTATATAATTATTATATGAAATAAAATATTCACTAGAAATTTAATTATAATTTTTAAATTATATATTAAGTTTACACAATTCTTATAATTTTTAATTATTTTATTTTCTTATTATTTCTATTTTTTATATAGAAGCATTTAATATTTTTTAAAAATTTTTATAAATATTATAATTATCTATAAGTTATATATATATATATTATTTATAATAATTATTCTTTTATATATCATATGTTGTATAAAATTTACTTAAATTTAAAAAAGTCATCTAAAATTTATACACAATTTTTTTTTTCTAATAATAATATTTATTATTTTTTTTACTTATAATTATATAGAAATTTTTATACAATTTTGTTATTTTTAAGAATTTTTATTATTATATATTTTACTTTTCTTAATAAAAATTTCCTGATTATAAATTATTTAGAAGTTTCATATATTTATTTTATTTTTAATACTAATTATTATTATTATTTATGTTGAAGTTTCTTAAATTTTATACGACATTTTTATATTTATATTAACTAATTATATTTTTCTTTATTATTATTATTTCCTTATAGACAATTTAATAATTTACGAAGATTATTTTTATTTAATTATTATTTGTTTCCTTTTTATTCTTTTTTTATAGAAACATAATAAACTTTATAAATTATATTGAAACTTTTACATTGATTTTATTTTATTATTATTATTTTAATATTACTATACTATATTTTATAAATATTTCTTTATTTTTAATACTTTTTATATTTATATTTTGTTATTACAATATATTTTATATTATAACTTATACATAAAAAAATAAATTATATAATAGAAATTTATTCAAATTTTATTATTAATATTAATTCATACTATACTTTATTATTATTTATTTATAAAAAATAAAATTTTATATGAAGTTTATTAATAAATTATTAATAATAATAAAAAATTTACACTACGAGGTTTTAATACTTTTTGATATTTTTGTTTATCGTTACACAAATTTTTTTTTATTTATTATAAAATTGTTAAAAAAAAGTTATTTTCTGAAGAGAATGATTATTTTTGTTATTTTTATTAGTTGTTATTAACATATATATATTTATGCGAAACTTATAATTTGAGCCTTCTTATTAAATAATTTTTAATTTTTTATACTATTATATTATTTTTATTAATAATCTTATATTATGAAATATATATAAATATAGAATTTTATTTTCTTTGTTTAAGTATGTAAAAGTACTTTTCGTTATTATTAGTTACTATAATTTTTTATTTATTATAAGAAAATTTATTACTATTAAAGAATGTTACAATTATTTATTTATTGTTTTTATTTCTATTATTGACATTTATAAGTACTTTTAAACGTATTATGTAATATATAAAGTTTTATAGCTTTCTTTTATTTTTTAATATATAAAGTTATTATTATTATTAGTTATTACAAATATTCATATATGTATTGAAAATTTTTTATTAATTTCGAGTATTATTTATAAATTTTTTGTTACGTATATTTCTATTTTCATACTTAATATTTTAATAATTTTACTTATAAACTATTTATAAACTTTTGTTGTAGTATATTTATTTTTTTATTTCTGTTTATTTTTTTTTAAATATACTTTTCAATTTATATTCTCTAGAAATCAACGTCTGAAAAATATTTTAAAAATATTATATTATTAAATAAATTTAACGAAATAATACATAAATTTTAAATTTTTTTAAGATTTTTATATATTTATTATTATTTATTACTTTTATTATATTTACTTTTAAAACAAATAAAATAATTATTTTTGATTAATTTTTTTTATATTACATTTCTTTTGCTTGTAAATATAAAAAAACTTTTTTATTATGTAGTATTGAAGTTTTTATACCAATTTCTTGTTTTATTTGTTTTTTTAAATCCCGAAAACTTTATTTGTATTATTAAATACAAATTATAATAAAACATTGTAAACTGTAAAATCTATTATAAATTTTTGAAGAAAATAATTTTTTTTTAAATTTTTATATAAAAAAATAATTTACTTTTTATATTAAAATTTTATAGAATTTTTTATTATTATTATTTAATTACTTTTTATTAAAATATATATATATATATATTTTATTTTTATATCTATAATGCCGAATATTTCTTAGTTAATAAGTGGGTACTTTTTATATATATATTTATTTTTTGTAGCAAATGAGGCACTGAGGCACAAATTGCTTAACTTTATCCTCGAAAATTCGCCTACGAGCTCGCCATATGTCTTTCAGTTCCTTGTTGCCGTCGCGAAGAATATATTTCAAGTTCGAGAGGCCGTCTATTTGGCGCGGCACTCGAACTTTACTAAGGAGTGCATGGAGGTTTCGACTTACTTTTATATGTTTATTATTATTGTGAATGTTGTATAGTAATAATTATAAAAATAATAATTAATAATAATTAGTAATAGTTAATAATAGTAATAATAATAATATGATTACTAATTTTAGAAAGTATGTTAACTGTTTTTCCTTATAATTATTGACTTTTATTATTATCCGTAACAATAGCGGAATGATAATATTAATACTAACGTGTTTGATGTTCAATATTTTTTTATATTTATTATGTTCGCCGATATCTATTATAATAATAATAATATTATTATTACTTTTAATAGTCTTTATGTTTATAATATCCCTTTCTTATTATTAACACTTTTACATAATTTTAATATCGTTGTGTATAATATTAATGAATTTTCATATTATGTTAGTTTCTGTAGTAAATGTCTATTTCAATTATTATTATTATTATAAAACTTAAGCTTTTTAGATGTTAATCTCCAAACTTGTCTCTTTTGGATCTCCAATCATAGCGATGCACCTTCGCTTTATTTTACTGTACTTCTATTCTCCGCACACGCGTTCATATTCTTTTTTAGCGCCTTTCTTAAAAGGCACTGGTTTGTATTAAAGTTCTTAAAAGCTACCAATCTATATACATATTTATTAGTGAACGCAATCCGCACTGTGAAACGCGCAAAAGTTTGGAGCTTCTACTGCTCTTCCTCGCTAAGCACAACTCTATGGGCGCCGTTCCTGCGCTTCTCGCAAAGTAACTCATTGAATCACGCTGAGAATGCTCGCCTGTTGAGTAGAATTCTTTTTTATTTTTCTTAAAAGATTTGCGCTTTGCGGAGGAACTTTCCGGTATCCTGAAGCTTCTTTACTGCTACTAAACTGCGCCCGTCGAGGTCTCCACGCGGAGGTTTGGTCGTTTTTGTTTGCTGCTTTTTTCCGCGTGCCTTCTTTTACCATATTGGTGAAGGTCGAAGAGGTATGGCGACTCATGGTGCAGGCGGACAGGTCTTCTTTGGAGGCGCAGACTTCTTACTTCGAGGCGTTGTCTTACCTGAAAGACAAGCACACTGCTGCTCTAATTTATATTTCTCTTGTTGATTTTTTTTAATTTTTTTAATTTATTTTCTTTATTTAATAATATTTTCTTGACAGAAGCCACTTTTAGCCGTAAATCAGAATTCAGTAATCACTCAAAAAGTTATTAAAACAATCTTCTTTAGTAGTATGCGATTGGGATCTCTGGATGGTCCTTTTTTTTTTTTACTTATTATTATTTATACTTGTATTCTTGTTTCTGGTTAAAAATTTTTTGTTTAAATTCAGACGCGCTTGCTTTACTCAACAGCGACCACCTTTTTTGCACTTCCACCGGAATCGCGTGTTTTTTTGGCGCCATCTCTGATTGTTCCATGTGGGTTCGGCCTGTTCCTATTTTTTTGTACATAAAATTTAAAATTAATTATTTTTGAAACTTAAGGAATTGTTTGTACCAAAACTTTTGAAACTTCTTTACTTGAAAAAAATGAGTTTAGTTTGTTGTGAAGATTTAATTTCTGCTTTGGCTCGCTGCCACTGGAGATTATTAACGGCTCGTTCGGTACTAATTTTGTGATTATTATTTAGTTTAATTATTTTTTTTAAAACTTTTCGTTCGCGAGGTCAACGACACAGAAAATCTTACAGTAATTAATTTCAATTTTGCAAAGCGATTCATTTTTACTTATAATCAACTGCTCTGTCCTTTTGAAATTTATTTGGAAAGCGTGGTTCAACCCGCTCCGCATTAAGCTTCTTTTACATCTTTTTATAAAAAAAAGATTTACTGCAACACTGAAATTCATAACATTCTGTAGGCCTCCTCTACTTTTCTATTATAAGTTGTTTTATATTTCCGGAAGTAGATTTATTACATTCAGGAATAATAAGAAAAGAAAATTTTTAAATTTCTTTTTAAAATTGGTGAATTATTAAATTTTTAAGTAGTCCGGAAGTAAATTTGTTTTGTTAATTGAAAAAAATAAAAAAACTTAAGACTTAAAATTTTATATTAATTCTTATTGATGAAAAAAAATCATCAGTAGTACTAATTAAGACCCTTGTAGTTTGTTATTTTATACTCAACGAATTTTTTTTGAAAAAATTCTTTTCTTAATAAAAATACTTTTTAAGAAAATTGTTATAAGTTAATCTCTTAACTGAATTTGAAGTTAACGTCTTAAATTGTCAATTCTAAAAGAAGTTATTAAAAGGAAGAATTTATTTTTATAAAACGCATTTATACTCCGGTTAGATTTTTTATAAGCAAAGTTACTTGGAAGAATAAATTGATCAATATGAATTGTAATATTACGTTAGTCTTTTTGTAAGCAAAAAAATTGAAGTGAATCGTCTTTATATTTTATTAAAAGGTAATTATACTCCTGTAGATTTTATAGCTAAATTATTAAAGAAAGGAATCCTTTCTTAAAAGGCGTTTATAACTTAATATTTAAATTATTAAGTACAATTTATAATTTTTTTTAAAAACGAATATTTTTTTTCGAATAATTAGTTAAAGTAAAAGTCGTTAAATAATAATTATAGAAATTTGTAAAAACATTTACGTTTGGTTAATTTTTTTGAAAGAAAAGTCTTTTAAAGTTGTATGGATATTTTTTGAAAAGCATTATCATCTAGTTTAATATTTTTAAGCAAAAGCTAACGCATTTATTTTAGGTTAACTTTTATAAGCAAAAGTTATTAAAAATAAAATCAATTTGTTAGAACGCGGTTGTAATTCTGTTCCCCTTTTTTTTTGAACTGAAGGATCTCATAATCTACAGTCTTACGGGTTCATCTTTTGGTTATGTCTGGCGAGTACTTTGTAACTGCTCATTATGAATTTTTAAATACATTCTAAATTGCTTTGGAAAAAATATGAAAAGTTAGTATTTTTAAAATATTAATTCAATAGTCTGGAGTTAGTAAGAAGTGTGATTTCTACGAAGCTGTGTCAGCCTGGTAACACCACCGCGTTCACCTTTAGGTATTTCATTATATTACAAGTAGAAATTTTATAGTGTTGCAAATCATCCTTTTCGTTAAATATGAAAAAAAATGACTGTCGCATTCCTATATAATCTAAAATTAATTAATATGCCTTTACTTTGTTCACTATTGCGTGTAGAAATAAAGAATATTGAATTTTTTTTGGCTAATTTATGCTTTGTTTTGTTATTTGTCCTCTTTTCTTAAGTTATATAAAAGGTGTACAGCACATATATATGTATAAAAATTTTAAAAAATCCTTAAGTTTGTTCACTGTTATTTTTAGTTTGTATGGTTAAAAGTTAAGACTATTTTTTATTTTTCTGTCACTTTAAAAGTGCCACACAAAAAATAGAATCTAAAATTTTATAAGTACTTTAAGTTTATCCACTATTACGCGTAGTTATAAAGAAATTTGAATATTTATGGCAAACTTATTTTTTTTAAAGACTTTCAACATTACTCTTGAAGATAATAAGCAAAAAACAAAACTATTATATATATACATTCACATTTACGCACCATCATTTAAAAACGGTAAATAAATTATATACTAAAGCTACGAAAATTTTAAGGTTAGGTAATCTCCCGATTATAATTAAACACGCTCGCTTTTAATTACATGCTCTTGAAATGAACGCTTATTGTGGTACTGTAGTACTTAATATAAAAGAAAAATTAAAAAAAATTTTAGATACAAAATTCGTTTGACATCCAAACGAAGATTTTAAAACGCACTTGCAAACTTTTTTATCCATGCTTTTAACGAAAACGACTAAAAGTAAAAAAAAAATTTCAACTTCGATTTTAAAGCTTAGAAATCTCCCAATTAAAATTATTTATTTACATAATTAAAAGAAAAACGTTATATTATGATACTTTAGTATCAAATATAAACCAAATGTAAAAAAAAAGTTTATTTTTAAACGCTGATTTTATAGCGTGGAAATCTAGTAGCACTCGAACACGCCAACCTTTCACTGATTGTTCTCATTAAGAGCGTCGTTTTTTAATATTTTAGTATAAATAACAAAATTAAAAAATATATATTTTTAATTACACAATTAGTTTTAGACCAGACGAAGATTTTAAGCTGTAAAAATCTCCAAGTTATAATTGATGTTTACTTTTATTTACATGCTCTTACTGAAAATCATATTGTGATACTTTAGCATCAAATATAACCTAATAGTTAGAAAAAAAAGTGGTTTAAAAACAGTCGTTCTACATATAGTTAAGAAGTACTGGAAAATATAAAAAAGGCATCTTCAGACAAACTTTGCCATTCTTGTTTACCAATAAGAAGCCGTTTAACTGTTTAAAAGGAAAACAAAGTTATGCAAAAATAATAATAATAAAAAAAACAATTTTTTTGCACTAATCTAAGAAACAGACACTTATGTGTTATAATAATAAATCAACTGCTTCACGAAATGTTGTTAAACTTTATAAATTAATTTTTATATAGAGTACTTTTTAAATTGTAATGGGCATAAGAGACCTTCTTCCGATTCTCAGAGCGAGTACGACTAAGTAATAAATTTCATTCACGACATTGTTAGTGTGTAAAAACTATATATATATATTTTTAGCTCATTTAGTGGCAGTCACGCAGTTAAGCTCACTTTCCCAAGTCATATGCAAAGAGGATTTCGCCTTCTGGATTCTAAACACAAAAAGATTGATTTTTTCATTGAAGTTCATGACTGCCGTGTAATTTTTTTTCTTATTCATAAGATTTAACTTTTGACATATGCAGGTAACTGAATTTTTTTTTTAATAACAAGATTCCACTTATAGGTAGAAATAAAAGATTTCAATTTTTAGCTGAGGAAAAAGCAAAAATTTTGGTATTTAGTAAGATTGATTTGGTTACTTTAGACCTTGTTAAGGTTTCTCAACTTTTTTATTAATTGATTAAAATTTATATTTTAATTCTGCTGGAAATAATTTTTAATAAATTTTTTAAAAAATTTAATATTTAGGATTTTTTATTATTTCTAGGTGTGGAGGGCTCACTTTGAGAAAAACGGCCTTTCAGACGTTTATTTTTGTAACTTATGCGATCCTTTTGATCCGGATGTGAAACGTTTAATTAGTAGAATAAAGAAAATAAATAAAGAAATTGTAAGTAATATTATTTTTAATTTTTACTATTTTCGAATTTTTTATTTTTATTGTTTTAGTTAAATAAACCCGCAGAAGTTCAGGGAATAATTCTGGGCATCCCGAATTCGGGCAAATCTACTTTAATAAATCGTTTACTAAACATAATAAGGGGAAAAAGTATAAATTATAATTTTTTTTTAATTTCCTTTTAAAGTTTATATAAAATTTTCTTATAACTAAAAAGTTAATATTTTTATCCTTTTATTATACATATTTTTTATATATATTTCTTTTAAGCTGCTCTTAACTTTCAACTTCTAATTTTTTAATAATTTATTTATTTAGAGTTCGAGATTTTTGGTTCATAATTTTTAATGAATTTTTTTCGGCCTTTTTAAAATTTAAAAAATTAATAAAATCGTTAAATTTAATTTTATTTTAAATTTTTTTATTTATTTAGAACTTTGCTATAAAAAAAAATTAATTTTTCAAACTTTTTTTTTTAGAAAATGCTGCTCGAACTGGGCAATTACCGGGAGTTACCAGGGCGGGCCAGAAATTTTTAATCCATAATTTAAAGAAGATTTATATGTACGACACGCCAGGTCTTAAATTTTATTACTAAATTAAAATTATAGAATTTTTTTTTTACTTTTTACTTACGTTAACATAAATATTTTCTTTACTGCACATGGTTATTTATATTTTATTATTTTTTCACCTGATTGTTCTAATTATCTCTGAAAATTATGAATTTTAATTTAATTTCCGTTTGTTATTTTATATTATGTGTATATATACTAATTTTAATTTATTTGTAAGCTTAACTTAAATCTTTTGAATTTTTGGTTTAATTCCTTCTAAACTTTATAATTTTTAAACTTTTATTTCTAATTATTAAACTATTATATATATATACTTTTATTTTTACTATTAACTTATAATTATTTTCATATTATGATTCTTGATTGTTTTGAATATTTAAATTTCTATTAATTTATGAAATATATATATTACCTATTATTTTTACGCTCGACTTTAGAATCTTCTCATTTTAAGACTGATTATTTTTAAAAATTTTAAGTTTGATTTCTATTTTTTTATTCTATTTAATATATATACTACTTTCAATTTAATTTTACGCTCAACTTTACAATCTTTTGACTTTATGGTTTAATTATTTTAAAATTTATAATTTTTAGTTATAAATTCTATTTATTATTCTATTTCTAAATATTCTACAATTAATTTGTATTTTTGCTTAACATAAAATCTTTTTACTTTTTACTTTCGAGTATTTTTTTAATTTAGAAAAATTTATTATTTGTTGATTAATTTTTTATAGTCTTATTTGTGTTTTTAATTAAATTTGTATTCTTTTTTTATATTTATTTTTAATTTTTTTTTGGTTAATAAGAAAATAATTATTTTTAACATCTAATTTTAAAATTTTTTGAGAATTTTAATTTTAATTTTTAATTATAAATTTATTGTGTTGAATTTGTTTAATATTAGCTTGATTTATAAATCTTGTAAAAACTTTTTAGAAATGTAGAACTTTTATATTTAATATTAATTATATATATTTAAAGATTTTTTTATATTTCGTTCATTAGATTTATAAAGAAATTATTGTAAACTTAAATTTATCAATTA